AGACAGAGTAGATACTTCATATGATAATGAGATTGACAATTGTGCACTGGTTTAACTACTCAAGGAATATGAATGGGCAAATGGAAGTACAGTGCAGTGATAGACCTGGATGTGGGGTGTGAAAATAGGAGGAATCATATATTATCTGTTCAGTAGATTAAATGCACAGAGGGTGTGAACAGGGCAAAGACAATGAGCCCCTGGCTACGAAATGTGGACAAGAAAAGAGAAGTAGCCTCCTAGCATTGGTACAGTGGAGAAAATGTACAAAGTTTGTGATTGGATATACAGAGATGGAGTCTAAATTCATCACAGCAATGATATAACTGGGAAGAAGAAAATAGTCTAAAGAATAAGAGACCCACACCATAAGTGCCCTAGTTTAATAGTGCAGGGAAAGTGAATAGGACAAAGAGAAGTAGTCCGGAGTCATCTGTATTGGGATGTAACATAATTGGAGGCAAAAACAGACAAAGAAGAGTAATTCTATAATATCAGTATAATGGTATAACCAGACAAGGGGCATGAATAGAACAAAGATGGGGAAACCTGCACCTTAAGTTCAAGGGTATTTGTTGTCAGTAAATTAACCTTTCAGTGAGAAGGAACCCTTTACTAACAGTACACTGATATACCTCGACAAAAGAAATGAATATGCAAAGAATAGCAGTCATACCTCATCAATGTACAATTGAAAATGGATGGGATATATAATTGCAGAAAGAAAGAGTAGTCCAACATGATCTATCTATGTAGTGGTAAAACTGGGCAGGGAATGTGATAATGGAAGTGAATAAAAGCCCAGCATCATCAGAGTGGTGGTGCCAGTGGGTAGGACATGTGTAAACATCAATAAGGAGGGATTTGGTTCCATTAATGCAGTCAAGTAGTTGGACAGGGGATGTGAAAGGGCAAATAAGAGTAGCCCTGAATCATAGGTAAAGTGACTTAACTGTGAAAGATATTTGAACAAGGGAGAAAATAGGTGCCCCATACCACTGGGACTATGTAAATAGGAATGTGATGTGAACAGGGTCAAGAGATAGAGGCCTACAACATCAGTGTGCTAGTATAACTGCATCAGTGATGTGAATGTGTCAAACAGGATAATCCCTTCACCATCAATGTGGTGGTGCCTAAGAAAGGGATGTGAATTAGACAAAGAAGAGTCATTCTGAAGCATCACAGAAGTGCTGTAATTCAGCATGGAAAATGAAGCAGGCAAAATGGTGGTGCCTTCTACTGTGAGTGCAGAGCTGTAATTTGGCAGGGGATTGGAATGGGCCAAGTAATAGTAGTAGGATCTCAACAATCA